GAACAGTTCTCAGAGTGGTTTAACAATCAGTCCCTGTTCCCAAGGAAGTCTGGGAACTATGGCTCTGTGAGGGGAACATGGGGGTCACCTACAAACTTTCAGGACCTTTAACAAACTGCAGTTCCCAGAGCCCTAGGTAGCCCACACCTGTGCTACCTGAGCCTTTGAACAGGAGATACCTGAGATTGGGCCTGGCTTCTTCTCTATGCAAAGCACTGAACTTAACTATGTACCTTTTTGTAATAGGTGCAACATCAATTTGGGATGATCATAGCGTGTGTTTTTTGTTGGTTTGTTTTAAAACCTTTTGTGAGAGTGTTCACAACATCCTTTAATAAGTTATTGTCGTTCTCCAATTCTGTACCTACCTTTTTGGAATGAGGGAGATTAGGTGCTTTGCACAAACTCCAACCACTACACCACACTGCCTCTCTAACCCAGTGTACCATCTGACGCAATATAAATCTGCTGCAGTAAGTTTAGGGAGTTTTTTACTGCAGCAAACTCAACACTGCACGGCATCATTATTTTATTGGATTTGTTGCAATAAATGAGAACTTGGCAGTTAATTTACCCCAGGACAAAAATAATAGTTTGCAAGCTGTGTTGTGGTTGGTAGATTTGGTTCATTCAGTTCCTGAGCATGTAAAGTTGTAAACTTTATTATGTGGTCAAGTGGGAGAAAGAGTTGTGGTAACAAGAGACCTGATTGTGTAAAAGAACCTTCTGATCTCAAAGTCTTTTTCTGCCTTTAAATGAGCAGACATCCTGACATGTATCTCTTGGCTATGCCAGTGGAGAGTTACTAATTAGGGTCTCGCACCAGAGTAATATTCCAAACTGTAGCATACTCTGGGAATATGCTGCTCCTAATAACCAGAGCAGAAGAACAAAATTATTATTTCATTTTAAAAATGCCCAATCCATTTCAAAAGGGGGTTGAGGAACTGCAACTCGCTCTATTTAAAATGACTTTTCTATCTGCAATATACAAAATGCTGCTCCACAACTCTGCAGACCCCCTTAACACAATTAAAAAACAATGGGAGCATGACATAGGTTATGAGATAAACTACCCAATGGACTAGAATGTGGTCTAAACCATTCCCTTTAAATCCATTTCAGCCAAAAGAAGGGAAATCACTTTGAAACTTATCTTTAGATGGTATCTTACATCGAAGAAATTGGTGCTAATACATTCAGGAACCTTACCAAAATTCTAGAGAGGCTGCACCTCTACAGGCACGTACCTCCACATGTGGTGGGACTGTCCCCAAATCCAACCCTTTTGGACAGCAATCCAAAAGAAATATATAAAGTAACTAAGCAGGTATTGGAACCCACCCCAGAACTGACCCTATTGAATATTTTCCCAGACAGTAATGCTCACTCACAGTAGAAAGAGCTTATAACCCACCTACTCTCAGCAGCCAGAAACATCATAGCTGGACACTGGAGAGACCTGTCAGGAGTAAACATGGACTTTGGGCACTAAATTGTATAGGGAAACAGCTTTAATAGAAAAGCTAACCGATAGATTGAAACTGACATGGGGACAAATAAAACGGAGAAACTGACTCGGGGACACCTTCACCCTGGTATGATGTTGTTGTTGTTGTTTAGTCGTGACTGACTCTTCGTGACCCCATGGACCAGAGCACGCCAGGCACTCCTGTCTTCCACTGCCTCCCGCAGTTTGGTCAAACTCATGTTAGTAGCTTCGAGAACACTGTGCAACCATCTTGTCCTCTGTCGTCCCCTTCTCCTTATGCCCTCAATCTTTCCCAACATCAGGGTCTTTTCCAGAGAGTCTTCTTGTCTCATGAGGTGGCCAAAGTACTGGAGCCTCAGCTTCAGGATCTGTCCTTCCAGTGAGCACTCAGGGCTGATTTCCTTCGGAATGGATAGGTTTGATTTTCGGCTCCCCTTTATTAAACACACAGCTCAAAATGACAATAACGATAGCAGGGATCTACCAGCAGCATACAGATCGGTATGGCTAACTTGACCCAAGAATCCATTCCTCCCTTCCACACATGTAAATGAATCTCATGGCGGTCAATCAAAGGCAAATAACCACGCCCCAGGCCCCCCTCAACCTTCTCTCACTGCCCACATAAACCAACAAATGTATAGAAAGAGAACCTACCCAAATGACACCTACATAAAAGCCTCACCCATATACCAATTTGGGGAAATGAAAAAATAATGTGCAAATTTATCATTCGCCCTCTCCCCTCTCCTCTGGGTGCCATAATGACTTACATTGAATGTAACCAAAAGACTTTATAATCTGAACAAAAAAAGGGAGAGACATTGCATGTTCTTTTGTAGATGATGAAAATCTTTAATAAAAAGTATTTAAGATCGGTTTTCCAGGATGTAATGGCCTCCTCCTGGATGTGAGTTCAGAAGAGCAGAAATTTACAAAGCCTCGAAAGGGGAATTGTTGCAATCCAGACCGGCTGCAATGTGCAGAATCAGCAGCCGTAAAACCGCCGTTTGAGAAGCATGGCTTGTGTGTTGAAACGATGAGCCAGCTATATACTCCTTGCTGCTCAGGCTGCGCTACTGGCTGAAGACGGGACCCAAGCTCGTTTCTCAGCATGAATTACGGTATTGCCCTTGGCAGCCGCAGACCCCGGTTTAAGAGATCTAATTTATCAGGCTACCATGTGCTAGACTTCAGCTGTAGTGGACTGATCCTGATAGAATAGCCTTTTCCACTTTCATATTATAGGGGACAGTGTCACAGCAGAGGAAGAGCGGAAGGACTGTAGCTCAGGGATGGGGGAACTCAGTTTCACTCCTTGACATCTTCAGGGTAGGGCTGAGAATGTCCTCCTGCCTGAAACCCTGGAGAACCGCTGCCAGTCAGTGTAGGCCGGGCTTTCTCAACCTCGGCCCTCCAGATGTTTTTGGCCTACAACTCCCATGATCCCTAGCTAGCAGGACCAGTGGTCAGGGATGAGGGGAATTGTAGTCTCAAAACATCTGGAGGGCCGAGGTTGAGGAAGCCTGGTGTAGGCAATACAGTGGTACCTCGGGTTACAGACGCTTCAGGTTACAGACTCCGCTAACCCAGAAATAGTACCTCAGGTTAAGAACTTTACCTCAGGATGAGAACAGAAATAGAGTGGCGGTGGCAGCGGGAGGCCGCATTAGCTAAAATGGTACCTCAGGTTAAGAACAGTTTCAGGTTAAGAACGGAACTCCAGAACAAATTAAGTTCGTAACCTGAGGTACCACTGTACTGAGATTGGGTCTGAGAAGGTGGAAGACAGTTTCCTATGTTTCTAACATGGCGAAGAGTAACTTTGTACTAATATAAAAATGGTTTTTCCTCTAGGAACCTTTTCACTTGTGTTGCTTTTGCGCAGGAAAACTATTGCATGAACAAATTTGTAATCCCAGGGTAGGGAAGCGCCAAGTATAGGTAGAAAAATGTTCTCATGGGGTTGGGGGGGATGGGAAGATTCTCAAGCAAAATACTGTTGACAGCTTTCCGGGTTGTGTAACCAGCATGACTAAACCGCTTCTGGAGCAATGGAACACCGTGACAAGTGCCAGAGCGCACGGAAACGCCGTTTACCTATTTTTTTCCTGCCAGGGTCAGTGTGGTAGCAGCAAACTGATACATTCTCTATGCCCACTCTAATAGTAGATTATTAATATTTTTTATCCACCTTTATAACTATTTTCTTACCTTTTCAAAGTTAATTATATTTAACAAATGCATTTTCAGTTTCCTTTGACCACACTGTGAAATTTTGCCGTTTTCTTATTTTTGACATAAAATTATAATTTTCTATAGTCTAATTTGAATTTGCATCCCCAAAACATCACCACACCACACTTCCAACTGTGTTAGATTTCTGGGTCATAGGTTAGATTTCTGGGTATGGTTAGATATGACCACTAACTTGTTGCTTTTAACATATAGCCACAAGATTTAAAAACTTAAAGTTTGTTTCTTTAAACTTATATGCAAATATTTTTTTTTTTTTAAAAGAGATTTTCCTGAGCTCAGCTTTTGGAATCTGACCAAAATCTTAAATGGCCTTTTTGACCTCCTCTTGGAACATGCATTGTAAATTCTGTATTTGTGTGCCTACGGTAATCAATATCTCTTGGATTTTGGTATCTTGAGAGTTGAAGGTGTCGGGGTGCCCTCCAGGTGTTTTTCACGACTAAGTTGAGGAATGCTGTGTTAAAGCAACATTTGTTCAAGAAGCAAAGCCCCTTTTCAGCTTCAGATGTGCCAAGATTCTATATGTGTCTTTTTCTTTTAATATTTGAGTCGGTTTATATCTCTTGCTGGAATATTATTTTTGCATTGGCTCCAACAAATTTCTACTCCTGAGTATGCCTAATGTTTAATACAACCCTTTACATATTTTCAATTAAATGAAATTAACTTTACTCCAACGAGAAGCAAACGATATTTTCAAGCAATTATCTCCTAATAGCGGGCATGCTGCCTCTCAGAAGGAGGCGATTCTGCTCCATCTCTGTATCAGCAGGGATTGAACATTGCAGCTCACCTCACCTAGAGATGCAACATGGTTTTCCCCACTGGAAGCGGAGATAAAGGCAAGGAGAGAGGCACAGCAGGCACCAGAGGAGCCTAGGGGCCAAGGTCCCTTCACCCCCCCCTAAAATAATTGAGGGGGACGCCCCCCTGAGTTGAAGGGAATTCCCATTCAAATAGTTTGTGTGTGCCACGTCATGTGATCAATTATGCAGGGTAGGGCTTATCTGGAACCCCCCAATATTTTATTTAAGCGGGCACCCCTGGTGGACACCCTCCTCTGTGGGTAGAAGCTTTGGGCTTACAGAATGTCCTTTGCATTCATCTCCTGACGCTTCTCCTGCTGCTTGAGACTTCACTGGAGGAGTGTTCCAACCCCTGAACGTTGCTTTTTTTAAATAAAAAAAACTTCCTTTCCCTCCTGTAATAATATTTTGCTGTGTGTGTGTGTGTTCTCACCCCCTTTCAGCAGTTCCTGACAGCCAGCTCTGCACTATGGGATATGCCCATGATGAACCACCATCCGCCTGTCCCGATGAGTTTGATGACTTTGTCACATTTGAGGTGAGTGTCTGAACACAAAGCCTTTTGCTTGCCCCTAGTGACTAAGGCCTGTGCAGGGTTTGAGTCTTTACAGCAGCCGTCTCCAGCCTTTTCAGGCACAGAAGACTGGCCCTAAATCCAGACATGTATTTGGGGACCCCATTGCTTAATTTGTCAATTTGTTACCTAGTGGGAGTGCTGCTGTGGCGACCCACCTTAAACCAGGCCACATGGTCATGGGTCTCAGCTAGGGATGGGGAGAAATGCAATTCAGTTTAAAGGCAAGCTTGCCTTTTATCCTTCAGAATTTGCTCCTTTCCAAATTTTGCAATGCAGGTCTCTAGCCAAGTTATCTGTGCAACAATGCATGTACTAAAGTGTGCATATGTTTGTGAAAATAACGTTGTTGTTGTTTTTTTTAAATGCATTATATTACAGAAAATTGCTTTGCAAAAATGAAATGCCCTAAAATGCTGATGGATTGTCGTGAGGACTTTAAAAAAGAATTCACCAGCTGATGAGGAAATGTGGCATTCTTAATCTGTGAGGGCTTTCTTGGCAGCCTTGCAAGGTGGCAGTGCCATGCGCCACCGTTTACGGGATCTCTCACACCCACCGCCCTCCACTCCTGCCACATTTATTTTCTTAAGAATGCTTGCTTTTGCAAAGAGGCGTCCATCTGTGTGCAGGCCTGGATGGAGACCAGAATTGTATACCCACTGCTTGAAATTAGTTAGCATGACCCATTTTGCTTTCCTTGATAAATGGGCAGGAATTGGTGGCCTTGATTTCTTGGTGTAGCATTTGTTTATTTCTCCTTCCTCTAGTCTGCAGGTTCAGGGGTGAGTATTGCAGGCATGTATTGCAAGGGACGCGGGTGGCGCTGTGGGTCAAACCACAGAGCCTAGGACTTGCTGATCAGAGGGTTGGCGGTTCGAATCCCCACAACGGGGTGAGCTCCCATTGCTCGGTCCCTGCTCCGGCCAACCTAGCAGTTCGAAAGCATGTCAGAGTGCAAGTAGATAAATAGATACCGCTCCAGCGGGAAGGTAAACGGCATTTGCATGCGCTGCTCTGGTTCGCCAGAAGCAGTTTAGTCATGCTGGCACAGAAGCTGTGTGCCGGCTCCCTCGGCCAATAAAGCGAGATGAGCCTCAACCCCAGAGTCGGTCACGACTAGACCTAATGGTCAGGGGTCCTTCCTTTACCTATTGCAAGCATGAAAGACTGGGGAAGTACAAATCTTTATTTGCCTCACTTTATCCAGTGTCAGGCCTTGTCTCCAACATGGATTTTCCCCACCTCTTCCTTTGGTTACGCATTAAGGAAGCTTTGCAGGAGGATTGAAATATATGGCTGTCGGCCTGTCTTGATGACATGAGTGCTCCGTTTCATGCTAGTCATTTGCCTGGGGCAGATCAGGGTGCAGGGATGTTGAAGCCTGTGGCTACTGGATTGCTGCAAATTGTGAGCTTTCCACTCCATTCAAAAGAACAGTGTAACCAGCAAATGGGGGCGGCGGGGGGGGGCAGCGTGACAACCACATTTTTTCAAGCCCAATTTATTTCCCTGAGGTCGTGCCCTTAGGCATTTGAAAACTGCATGCAGGTCATATGGCTCTACTCCCCCCCCCCCTTTCATCCCCGCTCAGATCTTGCCGCCTCTGCAAATACATCCCACAGTCAGGCAGAGTGACTGGCAGCTAAATCCATCTGGCTTTGTTTTCTCCTAATGACACTTGAGAAGGTTCAAACAGAGGTTCTCTCCTGTCCCTCAGACTCTCCAGTTACAAGATCAGAGCTTGGCTGGAAGCTGCTTTCTGCCGAAGACAATGTTGAAGTGAGGCCTAGTGGCAGTGTTGCAACTTTAGTGTGGCCATTGCTCCTTGGGAGTCGGCGGTTGCCACAGGAGATGAGGCCCTTTCTTTTTATTCTCTCCCAGCCCCTTTAATTTTTTTTTAAAAAAATATTTTTATTAATAACTGTTTAATAGTACAGAGCAATCCCCTTCTCATTTTGTTGACTGGACAAGGAGAGTGTAAAATGAAATAATAATTTTTAAAAAATCAAAAACATCAATCTGATGGTGTAGTCTTTCCAAAAGTATCCAAATTCAGGTCCACAATATTCATAGCAGCCAGAATGCTTACAGGAGATGCTTTTGTTTTTAATCTCCAAACAATAAAACAGTGCCAATTTGCCACAAAAGAGTCTTATATTTTGTTCTTTTAGCTAGGCGTAGATCATTTGTTATTTTCCCCACCACCACCAAAGCAAGTTGCCAAAACCATAAGAGAGCATGCATTTCTCATATTAAAGAATAAATGAAAATAAATAAACAAACCTCTTCCTAGTCTCTCTCTCTCTCTCTCTCTCTCTCTCTCTCTCTCTCTCTGAGTTGGCAACGCTGCCCTCTGCTGACCGACCAATATAATACACTTGGGTGATAATCTTAAAATGCATTCAAAAACAGAATAGCAGAAACAACAAAAATCCCTTTATTTGTGGAACACAGTTGTAAGACAGGCATTCGAGGTGTGGTCAAAAACACAACTTGAACCAAGATCGGACGAAATGAGTGGTGGAGGAAATATGAGGAGTGGCGTAATTGTGCTGGACTGACTTGGGAAGCGACTGAAAGAGGCTGTATTGTATTATTGAGAGCTTGTATTAGATCACTGAAAGTGAAGGATTTGTGTATAATGAGTGGAAAGCACCAGAGTCCTGTAAAGCTCGCTTTTGTTCTATTAGCTATGAACACCCTTCATGCAACCTGGCCTTTATGCTTGTGCACAAGTATACTTTATACTTGTAAAGTGCTTAGAAGCCTCGCTGGCTGTTAAGCAGTATATAAATTAATACTAATGACAGTGATAGTGCTGCGGTCTAGTAAGACAATCTTGATTCTGAATTAAAATGAAGAAGACCCATAGCATTGTGGCAGAACACCTGCTTTTGTATGCAGGAGGGTTCCAGGTTCAATCCCCAGCTACTACAGGGCAGGGAAATGCTTAGAAAGTCAGCCATTAAAAAAGAAGCCGTTAAAGTACGTGGAACAGGATTAAAGTGTTCTAGAAGGAAACAGCAAAGTCCAGCTATCCACTAGTGCCAAGTGCAGGCTCTCTGAGAGGAATGTGCCACACATTCAGACAGCCTATGAATCGAACGTTGTGTAAAGCGGTGGAACATCTGATGCAGAACTCTTCAGCATAAAAGCGAAACCATGGCCAGCCGTAGAGGATATGCTTCAGTAATCTGCTATACTTTTGGAAAGTGGTTTTATCTGTCCGTTTGTCTGTCCACTGTGGGTTTCGACACCTCTTGAGATATTAGCACACACAGATTCCCGAGGTGGCAGTCTTTGTCGATGCTGGGCACCATTTTGAATCAAGATGGCTGGCCGAAGCGTGACTTCGCCTGATTTTTGGCACGGCAGGTCCTAACTCTGCTAATGTGAAGATACTGTCTCCCTATTTGGCAGGACTTTGGCTTGACCTCACGCAGTTTGGCATGACAGTTACAAACAAGGTTTCTTGAGATGCAGGAGGAGATTTTTGCCAATCTATGGCTCCCATCAGATGCTCTGAGTCCTGCATCGTGTGTGTGTGTGTGTGTGTGTGTGTGTGTCTAGCCTCAAAACTCATAAGTCACATTATCAATTTAAAAAATCACATTTTTCTTTAGTTTCTTCAAATGCCTGGGCAGAACCAGACCCTTTCCGCTACCATAGTGGACACTACCATTCTTGACACTTTCTGTCTACCATAGTGATTTTCTCTCTCATGATCTAGTCCAGCCACTGCACTGGATATATGGAGTCTTGGCTCGTCTGCCTGTCAGTCTTGATTTAGAGAAGCTCTGCTCATTCTGGGGCTGAAGGAGAGCCGCCTTCTAATCGCAACTTGTCTTTTGTTGCCTTTTGCCAATGATTACTTAAGGACTATGTTCCTATGTGCTCAGTGATGTGAGGAATGTCAGGTGGCTGAAGTTGACTGAATCCCTTTATCTCCTTAAGCTTGGACATTGCTTCCTCTGGGGCACAGCGTACTTCTTGTGAAAACACTTTTTTTGTGGGGGGAGGGAGAGAGGGAGCAAGAGAGAGAGCTCAACCATGCAATTAGTCATGTGCTTTTTTCGAATCACGTGTGAAATCTGCAGTTGCACACAGCCCCATAAATCTTGGACCTACTGTAGCATCACCAATTACTTCTAGATAAACAAGCTTACGCCCTAGATATCTGGGTGGGGCTGTCCTTGATTAACCCCATCAAATATGGCAGTAATAGCCAACCAGATACCTCTGGGAGCTCTTCTGTGTCCCCAGCATCTGTTACTCTGAGGTAGAGTGACTCTAGATATGGTGGCTCAGCTTAGCAACCATGTCTAGCTTCGGGAGATAGACCTATAAGAGCAGTGGCAAAGCCTTTTTTCAGCCAGAGGGCTGCATTTCCCTCAAAGGAACCTCCTGGGGGGCCACATGGCAGTGGTGGGTGGGGCCAGAGGCAAAAGTGGGTGGGGGCATGGATACTAATTTTACCTTTGTACAGTAGGCTTGTTTCTGCACACCCACACCCATGGATCCCTCTATCCTCCATTCTGCGCACCACAATTTAAGGAGGATATTGACAAGCTGGAAGGTGTGCCGACAAGGGCAAGCAAGATGATAAAGGGTCTAGAAACCAAGCCTTATGAGGAACGGTTGAGGGAGCTGGGTATGTTTAGGCTGGAGAAGAGGAGATTGAGAAGAGATACGATAGCCATATTCAAATATCTTAAGGGCTGTTATATGGAAGGAGCAAGCTTGTTTTCTCCGGCTCTGGGGGATGGGACTCCAACCAGTGGCTTCAAGATACAGTGGTACCTCGGGTTACAGACGCTTCAGGTTACAGACTCCGCTAACCCAGAAATATTACCTCGGGTTAAGAACTTTGCTGCAGGTTGAGAACAGAAATTGTGCAGCGGCGGTGCGGCAGCAGCAGCAGGAGGCCCCATTAGCTAAAGTGGTGTTTCAGGTTAAGAACAGTTTCAGGTT